TTATTCTGACTTGTGTTAACATATCATTCCTCTTCCAACATTTATATTGTAAGAAACTTGGCACTAAGGACTTCCCTTCCCAAGATTGCTTTCAACTCTTGTTTGTGTTTAGGTGGGCTCTTTACTTCCGACTAATCAATGGTGGAAAGCTGTTAAGTCCATGAATCAGTTCAGTTGACATCTCTGGACCTAAATTTCATTTCTAGCATTACCTTTGACACATTGCTGGGAATCCTCCCAGCGGTGAGGAAAAAATGTCTTTTTTTCTTTTCAAGAAAAGAAGACTAGTCTAGTGGCATGTGCATCTCTACCAAAGATATGTAAAGCGTGGTTTTCCCAGTATAACTTAGGAATGTACCTTAGGTGAGAGGGAGCCATTTATATTCAGAGAGAGAGAAGGAGAGAGAGAGAGAGAGAGAGAGAGAGAGAGAGAGAGAGAGAGAGAGAGAGAGAGAGAGAGAGAGAGAGAGAGGGAGAGAGAGAGGGACACTAACAGGGCTTAAGTGCTAAAATAAAATTTTGTGAAAATTTTAACCTCTGAGTGTTCGAAAGTCATGTATATTATTGGGCTCAAATATTGAATACCAGTATCATCAGGATAATTCATTTTTGATATGCCAGCCAATGTTAGAAAGCTACATTCAAAGAAAGATTTTGTTTTAAACTCTTACTATGCGCTAGTCACTACACTAGGCACTTTTATATCATTTCATATCAATTGAAGCTGATCAACCATCCAAGCTCTAACTCCTAGTTAGAAGGTAGTATCATTATAAAGTGTATGTGTATGCAAAGTTTTATAGCAGCCCACCAGGTACCAGACTAGTACCCTGAGCCTGATATCATTTCAATTGCCTATTAAAAATGAATATGGCTCTGGCTGTTTTGGTTCAGTGGTAGAGCATCAGCCTAGGAACTGAAGGGTCCTGGGTTCAATTTCAGTCAAGGGTACATGCCCGGGTTGTGGGCTCGATCCCTAGTGGAGGGTGTGCAGGAGGCAGCCAATCAATGATTCTCTCATCCCTGATGTTTCTATCTCTTTCTCTTCCCTCTTTCCCTCTTTCCCTCTCCCTCTCTAAAATCAATAAAAATATATTTTTAAAAAGGAATATGATTACATATGGTTATGTAATTATAATATATATGGTATAAAACTTGCAAATGTTAATTCTATTTCCCTCTTTCCTCTACAAAGATGTGTATCTTATAAGTATATGTGATCTGAGGGTAAAAACAGATGATCTGCCCTCATGTCTTACTATTCCTCAATGTCCTTGACACTGTCTTGTACAAAGAGACTATGAATAATTTAGTTTTAATTTATCTGTTTGTCTCATTTATGCCTGATTGGAGCAATTGAAAAAAATTACATTCATAAATCTTCTTGCCAAGATAATTAATTATGCACAAAATACTCCAAGCTGCTTCTGATTTTCATTAATGAAACAGCAGATTATATGCAAAATAAGATGCTGCTGGAATTGGAAAAAATGGTCAGCTGCACATTTTTCAAAGGAAAACAAGTGCACATTTTTTACATCTGAAAAAACAATGATACAAAAAGAACATTCTATGATGATATTTATCAGACTATCATATTTCAATTAAGATAGAAAAAATCTGTGATTTTCATTTGTTTGTTTTTTCCTTTGATTGATGTAAATCTTAAATTATCATTGTTCTGGTCATTCAATTTTCTCTCAAAAAGTTAAATTAGCTAGACTATTATAGTTCAAAATCATTAGGCCATAATAATTTAGACACAGAGTAGCACTAAATGTGTCTTTTAAATGGCCCTTATGAGAGGCAATATATCAGACATTCAGACAACCACGTTATTACTCATCAGTCATCTTTGCTCTAATTCTCTACTTACTTTTCCTTTTTCTTAAGTGGTTCAAATGATTGACAAAATGAGTACTTCATTCATGTAAAGTTTGATAGCTCCTGAGTTCCCTTAAAATAAGTAAAAAACCAACAAAAAATATTTGCCCTCCAATGAAGTATGTGCCTTCACATCAACTCAGGTTTCACAATGTTCTATCAGGTAGATCATCCAGGAACATGATTATCATAGAACCCAATTTGATTAACCTGCTGCTATTCTTCATCATTGCACCATCAATTAAACTTCAGAATAGATCGTTCAGAGAAACTAAAAATTAGGTAAGATAATTATGCTTGTATCTACCTGGATTTTAAATTATTTCTTTATTCAGCCGAAACCGGTTTGGCTCAGTGGATAGAGCATCAGCCTGCGGACTGAAAGGTCCCGGGTTCGATTCCGGTCAAGGGCATGTACCTTGGTTGCGGGCACATCCCCAGTAGGGGGTGTGCAAGAGGCAGCTGGTTGATGATTCTCTCTCATCGATGTTTCTAACTCTCTATCCCTCTTTCTTCCTCTCTGTAAAAAATAAATAAAAATATATTTTAAAAAAATTATTTCTTTATTCACATAATTATAACACTCTAAGCACTAATTAAGAAACTAAAGAGACTCTACTTCCTCACCAATAAGATATTTTTTAAAATTATGCTAATTCAAGCAGTGATATATTATACCCATTAAAATTACCTATTGTACTTTTGACACAAGAATATGTCTATGATTTTTTTAATTTAATAAAAATAGGTAATAATACAGTATACTTAGGTTAATTCCATTAGTGTTTGCTTGCTTATTTATCCATTTCTTTAATGAATGTGTGTATGTAGTTCCTATGACAGTGCTCATCTCATATAATAAAACCCTAATATGCAAATTGACCTAACAGCAGAATGACCGGTCACTATGACACACACTGACCACTAGGGGCAGATGCTCAGCGCAGGAGCTGCCCCCTGGTGGTCAGTGCATTCTCATAGCGGGAGCACCGCTCAGCCAGAAGCCAGGCTCACAGATGGGGAAAGCAGCAGTGGTACAGGGGCCTCTCCCACCCCCGCAGCAGCACTAAGGACCGCTCTGGGGTCCCGGACTGTGAGAGGGCACTGACATTCATGCACTGGGGGGAAAAGAGGGTTCCCCCAGCGCATGAAGGTCAGTGCTGTATAAAGGTCTAAAAGGTGACAGTATATCAAATGCTCATAGCAATTACCTATATGGATGTGATCTCACCTACATTTTAAACAAATGGGCATTAAGTCACAAGCAGAAAAAAATACATATTTCTGTTTTGAACTATTCATTGAGTACCCATTGAACAAGTTTGGCTAAGATTATAAAAGTGACTTCTATTTGATCCATCAAACTCAAAATAAATAATAAATTACCCTTCAATGCAAAACCAGTCTTGACCAGCTTGGTGGTAGATGGAGGTACAAGGGAGGGGGGAGAGTAATATGTGTTGGGCTTTCACTATCCTTTTTAGACATGGTGACCTAAATGACTAATTATAATATAGCAGTTATTATGAGCCAAGTAACATTCTAACTACTTGAGGGAGAATAACTCACTTGATAATCTTAACAACACCTTGAGGAAAATACTACTATATCTACCTTTTACAGAAAACTGGGCCTCTGGGAACTTAAATAACTGCTCAGTTACTCCTCTGGTAAGTGGCAGAACCAGGATTTGAACCCAGCCAATAGTCTGGCCCCAGAATCTGTGCTCTTACCAGTCCACAGAGACGACAGTCACCTTTACTGATGACTCCAACTGCTGTCACTGTGTTAGCAAGAGAAAAATGTAACATGGAGCATTTTAAGATTAAGAATCTAAAATTTATATTTAAAGAAATGATTTATTTATTGACCAATTTTATTAAAATTTAATATTTATTTTTATCATTATTATTGAATTGTTTTTGACTCAAGATTGTTAGGAATGGAGTTCAAATGAAAGCCTATTTCTTTTAACCACAAGTTCATTCTGAAAGCCTTAATATTCCTATAGCAGCCTCTGACAATAAGACAATACGAAGAAGCCTTGGCCCGGGTGAGGAAGGACAAGAAAACTTGTCCTGAGGCTATTGTATTTCTCACTTAGTTTTTACACAAATGAATTAAAAACTTACATCCAGACAAAATCTACACATGGATGCTTTTAGAAGTTTTATCCTTAATTGCCAAAACTTGGAAGCTACCAAAATATCTTTCAGTAGGTGACAGGATAAATAAACTATGGCACATCCATACAGGGGGATAGTATTCAGTGCTAAAAAGAAATGAGCAATCAAGCCATGTAAAAAACATGAAGGAATCTTAAATGCATATTTCTAAGCAAATAACCCAATCTGAAAATACTATCCATTAGATTATTTCAATTATATGACATTCTGGAAAGCACAAAACTATGGAGTTAGTAAAATGATCAGTAGTTGCCAAGGATTAGGGGGAGAGAGGATGACTAGGCAGAGCACAGAGGATTCTCAGGGCAGTGAGATTATTTTTCATATTACAATGGTAGATACATGTCATTACACACTTTCTCAAATCCATAGAATGTACAAAGATGAGCAAAAGTAGGATTATAGTTGTTCATATGGAAACTATTAATAATATAGTAATTAATAAATAATACTACAAGAATTAACACCATGCTTCACATACTCACAACTATAAACCTACTTTTTCCCACTAAGAGTGGACCCTAATGTGAACTTTGGGCTTTGGGTGATGATTGAGCATCTGACTATGGACTCAAGGGTCCCAGGTTCGATTCTGGTCAAGGGCATGCACCTTGGTTGCGAGCACATCCCTGGTTGGGGGTGTGCAGGAGGCAGCTGTTCAATGTTTCTCTCCCATCAATGTTTCTAACTCTCTATCCCTCTCCCTACCTCTCTGTAAAACATCAATAAAATAAAATAAGATACTTGTTATTATATTACCAGTAAATAACAGTATTATTCACTATTTGGAAAAAGTAACATAGTAGTTTGAACCAAAGATCAAATAATTTAATCATGACAACTGAGAAACTGTCCTAGGAATAGCTAGTTCCCGTAACAACCAGACTTCATTAGCTGAGGGAAGACATCATCAGTGCCCCTTTGGGTTACCTGATTTTCTTGTTGGTCCCACTGACATATCTGCAGAACCTGACTCAATTCCTGCCGCTGTTGCTTCAGGTACTTGTCTAGTTGCCGCCTCCTGTCTTGTAGAAGTTCCAGAAGACTGTCGATCTTGAGGCAGCTATTCCGAGCTCCCTGAATCAACTCAGGATTTACATTAGGCCCATCACACTTGAATTTTTCGATGAAGTCAGTGAGTTGTTGACTTTTGTTTAAAAGCGCTAGAGATCGTTCTAAGAGTTCTAGAAAAAAGTTAGAAAGAAAACAGAAGAGTGATATGGGCAAGCTTTTAGATAGTAATATTTTTGACTCTTCATATAATTTAAAATATATATAGCCTTCATACTAAAATAAGGAATTCAAATGTGTAAACATAAAATGCCTACAATATAACCAATCAAATATCTTGGTCTGACAATTACTTTATCACTAACTGCCAAATGATAGGATGCTGGTGTTTAGTGGTAACATAGTTCAGTAGGGGGAGTAGGGATAGAAAGACTGGGATTTGAACACCAGTTCAGGTATTTGTCATTAGTTTGATGCTGGTTAAGGTATCTACTCTCCTTGGAGTGTTCTATGTTCTGTGGTGATAGACTAAAACTGAGGGTTAAAGGCTAATTCCTATAGTGGCCAAAAACTCAATGAATGTGGTGGCCAGAGGCTCAGACGCCAGGACCTATGGCAAGGTGGGATGAGTCTAACAGGATCAGCTGTCACCAGTTCTGGTCAACTGTTGACAGGAAAGAATATGGGTTTATTGTTTATGGAGCCTCATTTTAAAAAGAATTATCTATATATATGAAAGTTCCTGATTTTACATGTTTACAATTTACATTTTTTAATTGAAAAATACTGAAAGTTAAACAAAATATGTTTCTATGCCAAATGGGCCACCAGTGTGTCCTCTGGAGTAGGTTTGTGGTTTGGTAACATCTTGTAGAAATGGGAGTTTAAGCATAAAACCAAAGGATGACCAAGGGAGAGAGTGTAAAAGGAGTTGAGTATAGCACTATAGAGCAACCATACTTGAGGATTAATTGGAGGAGCAGTTGGGTAACTGTCTACTTTCCACGAGCCAGAAACCAAGGAGACATCCATGACACATCCTCCTCCCTAATCTCACTATTATCAAGACCTATCAATATCACCCTCTCTCTCCTGCATCTACTTTACTCCAGCCCCACTACAAAAACCACCATCTATTTCCCAAACTTGGACAGTTGCCTCTCAATTAAATCCCCTCTCTAATATATTCATCCATCCTCTATATATTATCCAGACACACTATGTCACACACACACACAACACACACACACACACACACGCACGTACACACACACACTTGAAACAATGGTTTCACGTTTCCTTAGAATTAAGGACAGACTTAATTCTTACCATGATTTCAGGTCTGGCATGGTCTAACCTACCTCTTCCTCTCCAGGTTGTCTCCATCTCTCTACTCTTTTTTTTTTTTTTTTTTTCTTCTCTCTACTCTTAATGCCTATCTTTTGAAAATACCTCACACATGCTATCCTCCCTCCTGTACAAGAACTTTTCACTGGGCCCTCTGCCAGGAACACCTTTCCCCTCAACCCTTGTTTTTTCTACCTTCATTCTATTCATATTTAGATCTTTCTCAAATGTCAGTTCTTCAAAGTACAAATAAGGCTGAAACAAATACTCCTCCTAAATGTTCTCAACTGCACAATATTGCTGTCATTGGCAACTCTTAACATGGCTATAATTTTAAATTTATGTGTTGAGTTAATTGACTGTCTTTGCCATTAGGCTTCAATACAATATGAGGACAGGGACCATGACTATATCACCAGCACTTAGCATAGTGACTGACATAGGAAAGATGTTCAACTTATGTAGAATGCTTGAATGAAATCACATATATTAAAATAGGGGGAAGAACTGGGAGAATTGTAGATGATGGAGATCAGCAGTCCTCCAGGGATGTAAAAGAGAGACATTTGAAAGAACTGGGGTTTTATGATGGGTGAATGATAGAAACAGAAGCCATTACTAGGTTGAGACATAGGAAGGTAGTGTTGAAGTGAAGTCAACAAGACAGAAAATCTTTGAGACATTTCTTCTTAGAAGAAAAATAAAGACAGAATATCAGCTTTTTATTTTTAGGGTGAAAACTGAAGAGCATCCAGCGGGTGAGTATATTACCAAACATCTCACTACAAGAGATGGATTAAACCATATCCACTATACTTCAGCATTCTAGCATTCAGCAGTAAACCACACAGCAATAATCAAGCTATGATAGTTGGGATGGTTGTCTCTTTTCAGTGGTGACTGGAGAGCTGGAAGAGCGTATGAGATAACTAAAGATACTGTAAAAATCCACCTTGACATGAAAAGGAAAGAATTTGAATTGTTTATACCCTGCAACCTAAATCTGTCTGATAAGGTGATAAATAGTATTATCTGCGCAGAGTGAGGAAAGTCTGGTTATGTGCAGTGGGCAATTCGGCTGGGAGTCAATAATGCAAGAAAGAGAGAAAAACAACCACAGACTTGAACCAGGATAGAGGTTATAATTCAAATAGAATAGAAAAAAATTAGAGAGAACATTAAAATTAAAGGAAATAGAAGTGGATGTGAACAAGACAAGAGGAACAGGAGCCAGTAAAATCCTGTCTCTCTCTCTCTCTCATGGCCCACAGTCCCTTTCAAGGTGCATGAATTAATACACTGGGCCCCTGGCCTGCCAGAACAGGTTCTTCTGTGGAAGGAAAAGAAACACTGCAGAAACAAGATGAAGACAGGTTACAGAGGCTGTGCCCATTGAACAGAAGGGTTTTAATTTGTTTAACCTGAACATAATAACCAGTATGATTAATGATAATGCAATATATATTACACACACACACACACACACACACACACACACACACACACACACACAAGCATGGGCAGATGGCAGGGTTTCCATAGGGTACTTCTTTTCTTTCTTTCCATAACTAGCTCTTATACACTCAACTTTTCAAATGAGAAAGGAAAGCAGGGCTGTAGGTGCTTGCAAACTGAGAGTGGAATAAGCCAACCTGCTCTGGTCCTTACAAAATAAATATAATTAGCCAAAATTTCCATTTGCAATCTTTTTCTGGTTTCTGTTTCAGCTCCTGTCAAAATAGTATAACCACTACCACAGTATCACTGGGAATACAGCCTCCTGGGCCCAAATTAACTTGTAAAATGTACCCAGGCTAAAACCGGACTGTTACTGCTACCAAGATGATCATTAAAGTGGGTAAATTGTTCCCTCTGTCAGTTCCTTCAATTCTTCCTCTGTCAGTTTCTGACATTTTACTTTTATACTGTTTGTTTTTCTGGCTATTTATTCCTTCAGTGGATCATACAAAGTGCTGCATTTTTTTTCTCAGGCTACACTCTTTAGATGTACCATGACCTTCAGGAAATACAAAATCTCTATAGTGCATTTATTTTAAAGATTGTATTTTTTTGCATTTACAAAATCTTATTTTCTCACATAATACCTTGTAATGTGAGGTTATTAGATACTTAATAAATTTCAATTGTTTGTTTTGATTGTCATACTAAAAAAGTAACGTTAAAGTATATTTGCCATAATTATTAAGTATAAATAGCAAATTCAAGATAGATAAAAGTGGAATGTACACAAGTTAAGTGAATTTTAGCTTTATACTCATCTTTCTATTATAAATGAGTATTTTCTAATAAGTAACAAGGTCACAGTCTTAGCATTGAGATCATGGGTGATGTTTCTTCCTAATACCTTTTTAAATATTCCAAATATTCCTCTGTGACGTGGTGTTTCTTAAACTCATCCAATGAGCATTTTCAAATATATACAAAAGTAGAGAAGCCCCTGTCCTCAGGAATCACATCCAAAAGACTGAGAACTCCAAGGGTTAGCAGTATCTTTCAGAGGCTGGCCCTCTATCACCTCCTTAGAACCATTTACAATTACTTCTTTCTTGCAGAAGATGGCCAAGAGAACAGCTTTCTTTAACCTTTCTTGGAATAAGCTGAAGTATACATATACAGATAAATTAAAAATATATTGTCCTATCCAGCCAGTGTTGCTCAGTGGTTGAGTATCAACCTATGAACCAGGTAGTCACGATTCTATTCCCAGTCAAGACACATGACTGGGTTGCAGGCTCAATCCCCTATAGGGAGTGTGCAGGAGGCAGCCAATCAATTATTCTCTTTCAATATTGATGTTTCTAATCTTTCTTTTCCTCTCCTTTCCTTTCTGAAATCAATAAATATATATTTAAGTAAATATATACTAGAGGCCACATGCATGAAAATTCATGCACTGGAAGGAGTGTCCCTCAGCCTGGCTGCCCCCTCTCACAGTCTAGGAGCCCTCAGGGGCAGGAAGCGACCTGGCGATCAGGGGAAGGTGACGCCCCATCACACCTCTGCTTCTGCCACTGCTGGCAATGCAAGCCTCAGCCGGCCCTGGTTACCTGCACCTCAGGCTGGCCCTGGGCATCTGGGCAGATGCCATCTGAGGCTTGCCTGCACCTCAGGCTGGCCCTGGGCAGCTAGGGGGCTGAAGGGACTGGGGGATTTCAGAGGCAGGTGCGCAAGACAAGCCAGCCATGCTGCACCTGCTGCCACAGTAGGGCTGAGGAACTGAGTGCCATCATCTTCTAACTGTGGGTGCCGCCATATTTTAGGTGTGGCAGTCAATTAGCATATTCCCTCCTTATTGGCTGTGTGAGCCACCATCTTTAAGGTGGGGAGTCAATTAGCATATTCCCTCTTTATTGGCTGTGGGCACTGCCATCTTTGTGATGGAATGAAGGTCAATTAGCATATTCCCTCTTTATTAGATGGGACTAGAGACCCGGTGTATGAAATTCATGCAGGGGGTGCGGGGGAGATCCCTCATCCAGACCTGTGCCCTATTGCAGTCTGGGAGCCCTCAAGGGAGTGGGCCTAAGCTGTCAGTTGGACATCCTTAGTGCTGCCACGAAGGCTGGGGAGGTTCCTGCCACTGCTGCTATACTCGCCAAACATGAGCCTGGCTTCTGGCTGATTGGTGCTCCCCCTGTGGGAGTACACTGACTACCAGGGGCCAGCCCCTGTGTTGAGTGTCTGCCCCCTGGTGGTCAGTGCATCTCATAGTGACTAGTTGTTCTGCCGTTCAGTCGATTTGCATATTAGTCTATTAATATATAGGATATATATACTCTCCTACATGAGCATTCTCACATTAACATCTCTATTTTTAAAGCTCATTGGAGGAACAAACATATTTCTTGCCTTTGGTGTGATGTTCATGAAGCTGAAGAAGTGACCTTAAGGACTCGGCAGTCTCAAACTCCTGAGTGTTCTGGAGGAACTCTTCAGCTTGATCTATTTTAATAGCAAACTGCAATAGAAACACAGGGGAAAGACATTTGAAAATATGCTACTTTAATTATATGAATTAATGCCTAGATGACTTGTATGTGCTTGTGTGTTTGTGTGTTTGTGGAGCATGTGCTGGCTTAGGGTGCTTGTGTGAGGGTATGCATTTACATGTAGTCAACTTACAAAATACCAAGGCAAGAACTTTCTTCTCATTCTTTTGCATTTCTTTCATACCTGGAAATATGTCATGTATTCCGAAATAAGCCAACTTGTTTACTATTCAGATGTATGTTAAAATTTTCAACTAAAGTTTTGTGTCCTATGTCATGAATATAGCCACTTTTAATATTATAAGACATGATTTACCACAAAGTTTGCTAGGAGAAACCAACAGAAGTTTGGCTAACCAGTGGTGACATAATTATAAGTAAATTTAACTTCAGAAATTATTTAGAGGGAAGGTTAAAAAACAGTTTTTCCCCTCTATAATTAGAACTAGAACTGAAAAAAGCAAGTTTCAAAATAATACATAGTTTAATCTTTTTTCTAAAGTTGATCTCAGCCAAAAGGCCAAGAAGCAATGTCTAACCCTGTTTTATACAAAGCCAAAGAATATGTATACCAAAAGTTTACATTTATGAGAAGAAATGGGATTGGGTATGGGTTAAGTAACGTAAAAGTTTACATCTATAATTTGTACTTTTGTTTGCATTTGTATAAATAATTTTATGCATAATTTATATAATAAAATAAGATTTGATGCAGCAATAATGAAAATTTTCTCCTCCGTTTCAAAAAATAAAGAAAGCAATTTGAATAGTGAGGAATATGACTGATCTCTTCTTCTGTGTTTCTCCATGGAAGAAATAGAAAGGACAGATGCTTGAAGTAATGTTAAAATCCTCAGGAGAGTTAGGGAGATGTGGGGGAGATAAGAGATCAATGGAAGGACTTGTATGCATGTATATGAGCATAACCAATGCACGCAAAACTGTGGGGTGAGGGCAGGTATGGGAGTGGAGGGGGGCAATGGTAAGATATTTACACATATAATACCTTAATAAAAAATGAAAAAAAATCCTCAGGAGACTCATCTTAGAAACAAGCTTTAGAAAAGGGCAAAACATCCTTGGTTATGCTATTATAGTATTTCATAGAGGCAGACAAAGAGCTAGTTTGTTTTAACACTAAGATTCAAAGGTAATTATTATACTTTATGAGAGCATTTAATCAACATGTTCATCTGTGGGCCAAGTGTAGGAATAAACTCATTAAGGCAAAGTATCATGTTGAAAGACAAAAGCCTATCACAGTGCTGATCTTTCTTTTCAAAATTTTTCCAAACTGTCATTTTAAATTTAGTGATATTCAATATTTTTATACAACTATTTGATTAACAAGATTTGTGTTATGCCTTAACTAGTTTGGCTCTGTGGATAGAGTGTCAGCCTGTGAACTGAAGGGTTCCAGGTTCAATTGGGGTCAAGGGCATGTACCTGGGTTGCAGGCACATCACCAGTGGGAGGTGTGTAGTAGGCAGCTGATCGATGTTTCTCTCTCATCTATATTTCTAGTTCTCTATCCCTCTCCTCTCCTCTCTGTAAAAAATCAATAAAATATATTTAATTTAAAAAAATTGTGTTATGCCTGGCCAGCGTGGCTCAGTGGTTGAGCATTGACCCATGTACCCAGGAAATCTCGGTTTGATTCCTGATCAGGGCATATGCCTGGGTTGCAAGCAAGATTTCTAGTGTGGGGCATGCAGGAGGCAGCCAATCAATCATGCTCTCTCATCATTGATGTTTCTATCTTCCTCTCCCTCTCCCTTCCTCTCTGAAATTAATAAAAATGTATTTTTTAAAAAAATGATAACCACATAAGACCCAATTATAAATGGCATGGAATGATGAGAGACTAATGAGCATGTCTCATTAGTCATATGGGAGTGGAGGGGGGCAATGGTAAGATATTTACACATATAATACCTTAATAAAAAATGAAAAAAAATCCTCAGGAGACTCATCTTAGAAACAAGCTTTAGAAAAGGGCAAAACATCCTTAGTTATGCTATTATAGTATTTCATAGAGGCAGACAAAGAGCTAGTTTACAGGGAAGGCCTCCACCACCCTGTCAGAACCCAATGGACACCTGCCGTTGTCACTGAGGGACAATGTCTTTAAATTGAAGAAAACCTTTCTGATGGGTAAGTCTAGGAGCCAGAAACTGTCCTTTGATGATTATCAACCATGCAATAAGAAATCATTTTGTAGTCTAAAGAACTCTTTAATGCACATAGTTCAATAAGGGAATCCCACCCATATATCATTTACATCTCCAATGCATTTTATTTCTAATAACTGATTTTAAAGGCATTCTTTGAGCAGAAACTTCAAAGAAAAATTTAAAAATGAAAACCTTATAGGAAATTTGTTGTTCTTTTTTCCCTGTAGAACATTACAAAAAGTTTTATGGAATCACTATATTTCAGAGCTTGTTATGTTAAATTTTAAAAATAAACAATTTTTCTCAAAAAAAACTTATCTAAAATACTATTAAGTGTTATCTTATGGATATTTTTATTTTCTTCCCTTTTCTCCTTTCTGTAGCTTGTACAGAATAGAAATGGTGATGGGGAAGTTTTTTGAACACTCTATTCTTTTTTTTTTTTTTTTAATATATTTTATTGATTTTTCACAGAGAGGAAGAAAGAGAGAGATGGAGAGCCAGAAACATCGATGAGAGGGAAACATCGACCAGCTGCCTCTTGCACACCCCCTACCGGGGATGTGCCCGCAACCAATGTACATGTCCTTGACTGGAATCGAACCTGGGACCTCTCAGTCCGCAGACCAACGCTCTACCACTGACCCAAACTGGCTTCGGCTGAACACGCTATTCTTAATATCACTCTTTTTTTAAAATCACTAATGAAAATTGCCTAGGCATTCACAAGGAGAAGGGAAGATGATGTAGGAGTTTGCCTTAAGCTAAGTATGAAGTTGTTCACAAAATTGGAAGCAAAAATTGTAAGAAACAATTAGCCATTTCACTAGAAATCAGAGTTTCTGGTTGAATTACATTATTAATCAACTTAGTACTTCTTTTTATTTTATGTAGTACGTAAGAGTCATTTCTCATCATAGAGAAAATCAGGAAGCATAAGTGCTACTACAAAGTAAGAAATAAATATTTAGCCTAGTATTCTAAAAAAAATAATAATAATTTCTGTGCTCAAATGAGCTGAATATAAAGGGCAGTTGATACCGTTACCCCACTTACTTAGATGGAATAAATCAAATGTATCTATAATTTGACCTCTGTGAGTATATTTCATCTGGTTATTTATTTTCAGAAAAGAAAACTGTGCATAGGACTTTTCCCCAAGATGATCTGTAAAATTAACTGTGAGTTGGGCTTCTGAGTGCAAATTGTGGAAAACAAACTTTGAGAGTTAGAAGTTTTTTGTTCCGTCTTTTAACTTTTAATGGAGTTCGTGCTGCATGAGATTGTCTACCCCAATTTTTATGTTCTATTACTAATCTTCTCTTCTTCATTATTTTGAATTTAAGCCCTGAGTTTCCAGTTTGGAAATGTCATATTTTTCAAAGCTCATGCTTTATCATAATGAAGCAGAGCTCTCACATCAAAATGAATGTACTGCCACTTGACCGAGAAGTTAAAAGTGAAATTAGCAATAACTGTCTCATACCAAACATAACATGTCTTTTGATGTTGTTCTTTGAGCCTCACATTTTGAAATTAGGAATCTAAAAAAAAAAAAAAAAAAAAAAAAAAAAAAAAAAAAAAAAAAAAAAAAAAACCTGCAGAATATAAGAAAAAAATCTTAGGGGGAAATGACCTTCTTAGGCCCAGGACTTTTTTCTTCCCTTACGTTTTAATGAGTTCAAGCTATATGCCTTTAAAAAGTACTTTATGAAATGCTATGCTTACAAGTCAGACCTTCTGTAGACTATTCTGCAATTCCCTTTGCATAAGCAGCAGAACTTTTAATCAACAACTTTTAGTAATAAGAACACTTTCCACCACCATTTCCTATTAATCCTATAATCAGGGGAAATTGTTTGATTTAGTAATTATGTTAGTGTTTTCTATACAGGGAAATATAATGGCTTATAAGTAAGAGTTCCCATTTTCACTTAATATTTTACTTAATTTTAATGAACTATACTTAGTTTTTAAAATTTGAAGGCCTATATTTAAAAATTAATATTTGTCTTCTGAAAACAAAACATTAGATGTTATATACATTAAATATATATTAAATGTTATATACACATACATATATATATTTATAATATCTTGGTTATTCTGCCATTTTTTGCAATGTCTATTTGCAGAAATAAACTATTTTCAGGAATGCTATTCATTTGCTCTGTTGTAGAGAAGGAAGACTTTTAAAAGAGAATACAAACCTCCAAGGCGCTTTCAAAGAACTCAGAGGTCAACCTGAGGAGCGCCCTTCTTCTTTCAAGCATGGAGACCAGGGCTGCCCATGCTTCACCCAGGCTGCTGGCCATGGCGTCATACACCTGACTCTGGTCCTTGTTCTCTTCAGCTGTCTTGTCCGCTTCCTGCAGGAGTCCCCACACCTGATCTTCCAGAGCCTGAGTCCAAGGAAAAAAACAAGGTATAAGGCAGAGGGCCAGTCAATGTAAAAATACAGCATCACATTTTAAACAGCTGGATATTTGAAACTATGTGGTATAGGAAGGTCTAAAAGAAAATTTATAAACTCCAATTCTATGCAGGCAGGCAGATCAAGCAGGCAGGATGGAGCAGTGGAGATTATGGTAAACCAGGAAGCATGCAAGGCTGAAGGCATTCATTTCTATTGTTCTAACACTAGCAATTTATCAAAGGTGCACCACATCTACATTCCCAGGGGCACAGAATATTGTGTTAATCTCACATTAAAAAAATAAAAATAAAAAAAGATTTAAAAAAAAGCTACCCAACCTGTGTTGCTCAGTGGTTGAGCATCAACTCATAAATCAGAAGTTCACATGACAGTTTTAAACATGTTGGTGCTTAACAACAGAGCATTAAAATGTGTAAGTAAAAACTGACATAACTGTAAGGAGAAATAGACAAATTTATCATTATAATTAGAGATTTCAACATCTCTCCATCAAAAACTGAAATATCCAATAAGCAGAAAATTATTAAGAATATAGATATAAATAACATTCCCAGTCAATTGAGTATAACTGACATCTAGAGACTACTATGTCCAACAACAGAGAAACGTACATTCTTCTCCAGCTCACGTGAAACATTTACTAAGATAGACTACCTGCTGGTTTTTACCTAGGCTTTTTCAAATGAATTTTACTTTTTTATTTATATCTTCCTATATGTTTTGCATTTTTATGAAAAGATATTATTTTTATCATTGGAGGCAATATTCAGAAAAACAAAAAGAAAAACATGCCATTGCTATACTGAAATAGTGGACCTGAGTTATTTCCAATTGAAATTCTAGAACAGTTATTTTCCTTCCTTATACTTTCAAATTATATCCTAAGACATAAAAACTTCAACTGTATTATTATTCCCAGCTATTTGCTGTTTCTTTCTGTAAAAGGATTATACTCTTATGCCTTCTAATATCAGACTTGTCCATGTGACTTGCTTAGACTAATGAAATGTAAAGAGTTTTGTGTGCTACTTCTGAGCAGAAGTTTTAAGAACCGATGAGGATCCTATTATGAAGATATGAAAAACTGAATTTAATTAGCATGAAGCAAACATGTAAGAAATAAAATTGGTGACTATGAGCAACTGCTGTTGGGGGATTATTTGTTACCCTATGATTGCCAGGTAGATTGACAAATGTAAAATCATTTGTTAGACATTTATGTATGTGCTAAATACAGAAGGAAAATAATTCATAATGCAACAAAACAAAGTATCTAGTCCTGAGCCTGACAATTTCATAGCTTACTCAAAAAAGTCTCAGGCAGATTGTGTTGGACATGAAAATGAGTTCTTCAGAGACATCCACTGAATATGTGTCATCTCTGTTCCCTTTGGTTTTTAGGCTAAAACGAACTAATGATTGTCTAAATTGCCAAGAGAGATAGACCAAATGCACATACCTTCCGGGGGTTTTTAAATATATATTTTTATTGATTGAAGAGAGGAAGAGAGAGAGAGAGAGAGAGAGAGAGAGAGAGAGAGAGAGAGAGAGAACAACAACGATGAGAGAGAATCATTGATTGGCTGCCTGACCAAGAATTGAACCGTGGCCTCCTTGTTCAACCACTGAGCTACACCAGCCACATGCATTTTCTTTCTAATATAGCTATTTGAGAGCATGATATTGGGGCATTTCCTTCCTCTGTGACAAGCTTTAGATTACCTTAAGGGCTGATTAATTTTGTATTGTGCATGTGTTTTATCTCATACTTTTTGTCGATGGAATAACTTAGCCTCATTTTCCACATATAATAGCCCAAGAATATGTAAGGAGAAGAAAAAGACTATATTAGGAGTCTAATTTTAAGATATGTCATTTGTATGACAAAGACTGTAGTAAGAAATAAAATTAGGAGAACTGAATAATTCCATGCTGGAGATGCAGAGGAAAATAAGAAATAATAGGCAATGAATTCATTCTAGAGCAAAAAGCAAGTAGACATTTAACCCTTTAGTGATTTCTTTTCAGGTTTTACATGAAGGTGATAAAATAAATATGAAGTTGGCTATTTCCATGGCTAATAAGGTTGTTTCTGGAAATGTTTTTTACATGGAATTCTTTCAGCCCTCTTAAACACATATGACTTAGTTCTTCTTAATACTGTTCTTTTCCCACATAAGTGACACTTTATAAATTAGTGATGCAGAGGTTTTGGGGGCAAGCAGCTTGGAGGACTATAATACTGGCTTCCAATATTTCCCATGACCTCCAATATGAACTGCAAAATGTTCTATTCTCTGGAATTCCAAGGCCAGAACATGATTGCAGAACCCTCTGGGTTTAATTTGGTACAAGTTGCACTTTCTTGGAGATTTTCTTCAAGAAAGCCAGCAGACATTTTGGTTTAGGATTGGCAGAGAACAGCTCTAGCTTCTCTTGGAATTTACATTATGCTTGGGTGCTGGGACCAGAGTCCAAGTGCAGTTCAATGTTCCCAAGGACCTATCAAACACCATCTGACATACTGGAGGAGAGAGGGATTCAAACAGAGTGAACTATGCATAGTTCATAGAGTAGGAATATTTTTCAGCCAATCTAAAATGTCAGCATAATGACCAATTGAAGTGTATTTCTGTGAGATTCCTGAAATGGAGCATGATCTGAACCCAAAGCCAAAATACAACATACGGGTGTTTGATATACAACACGTGGGTCTCTGTGATATGTCTTCAGCTTTGGTAAAGGTGTTTGGAAGGTTTTTAGTTCTTTAAGTGTTCAGTTTCCTATGGTGGGCCATGTATCATGTCACCCTATTGGTCAGGCCTTCCCTTCTGAATCTAATATCATACACATGCTGCCTGCACTGAAGAAATACTGTTCTATTTTATTGTCCATTGCTGAGCCTCCAATGAGATTAGCTCTTTCTCCCCATCACCACCACAAGTAACAGGATATCATCCTTTAGACAGCCTGACACACATGCAAGTCACGTACTAATAGGGAGGGCTAGAGGGCATAAGACCCCATGCATACTCAAAATAATGATTTCAAGTCTGTAAACAAAACACAAAAACATTAAGTTCTGTCTTGCTCAGCTTTATGACTCCAACACAGATCACTGGTTTTCAACAATAAAAGCCCCCAAACGAGTGTTTGAAAACATGTTGAGGCAGTTTTAGTTGTGACAATGTGTTTGTGTGGTTTGTGGGGGAGGGGGTTGATGAAGGATTGTCCCACCAATCAGCAACCCTACTGAGAAACACGGACTGCACTGCACATAGTAGGGGCTCAACAAATGTTTGTGGTCAAACATATGGAAGAGGTCTAAGAAGTTTCTTTCCCTTTCTGTTGAAAATCATTTAGTTTTATTTCGCAGGCTGTCAGAGGAGAGTTGAAAGGCCAATTGTTTCCATCTGACATCCTCTTCAGGAAGCCTCTCTACCAAATCACAGCACAGCACCATCCTGGAGCAGCAGCACTCCATTCCTTTTGGGACAAACCTTCCCATAGTTATTAGAAAAAGTTTTCTTGGACTGGACCAAAATTTACCTCCTCATTCTCCAGATTGCAACACATGCCAGCATTCTAATTGTGAAACACTCCTGATGACACCTTACACGTCTTCTATCTCTCATCTTATTTAACAGTCCTGAAGAGTTCCTTCGAAAGTGCACGAGATTTACATACTATAAAAATTAAAAGCAGTGAGTTGGAGGATGTGGTTTTGAACAGTTGAAGCGAGCCTGGTGCTTCACTCCCTCTCTTCCAATTGACTGTCTCAGATGCGGTCAGCTATAGATGGAGTTACTGTCTAAAGGGAGGGAAGAGGCTCTTCCAGCATAAAGACTATAAGAAAATCATTAGGCCAAAAAGATGAATTAGTATCTTAAAACACATCTAAAAGAGGAGAAATCTCCTTTTGGCATTCTTATTTATCATTGCAGTCATCGTATTTCAATACAAGTAGTATTTGTATGGTGCTTTACAATTAAAAATTTTATTATAACTAGATATTTATAATATCCTCAATCAACAGGCACCTGTAGAAACTATTTCATTTGCCGAAACCGGTTTGGCTCAATGGATAGAGCGTCGGTCTGCGGACTGAAAGGTCCCAGGTTCAATTCCGGTCAAGGGCATGTACCTTGGTTGCGGGCACATCCCCAGTGGGGGGAATGCAGGAGGCAGCTGTTTGATATTTCTCTCTCATCGATGTTTCTGGCTCTCTGTCCCTCTCCCTTCCTCTCTGTACAAAAATCAATAAAATATATTTTTAAAAAAAGAAAAAAAGAAAGAAAGAGAGAGAGAGAGAGAGAGAGAGAGAGAGAGAGAGAGAGAGAGAGAAAGAAAGAGAGAGAGAGAGAGAGAGAGAGAGAGAGAGAGAGAGAGAGAGAGAAAGAAAGAAAGAAAGAAAGAAAGAAAGAAAGAAAGAAAGAAAGAAAGAAACTATTTCATTTAAATGGAAAGGGTGCTTTCTGTCCTCCATTGAAGCTAAAACCAAACTGTCATTTGTTCAAATACGATAATAATCTCAATGGTTCTGTTGGTTCAGAGAAGGTAACACCTAGTGGAATCTGAAGTTATTCAAGTAGGTAGTCATTCATCCATGCTCTCCCTTCATTCCACAAGAATTTATCAATCATCTCTTAAATGGTGCAAATTGTGTTAATAGATATAAAAAATTGAGAAGGGGTACATCTAGTTATGATTATGCTGTTTTCCTCTCTTTCTCAATACTCATCCACTTCTCATACCTGCATGGCTTCCATCCCCACCATCTTACTGAAATACATATTCTTGTATTTGTCACAATGACCATCTTTGTCAAGGCCAACAATCCTCATTTAATCACTTCTTTGTGATTAATAACTGGTGTGTGCTCCTTAAATGTTTTCCCTTTCATTTGCTTTTAGCACACTCTGCTTTTCCTTCTGCCCTTTGGCTCTCTTTTACAGATGCGCTTTC